GGAATTGTTAACTTAGCAGCATTTAACAGAAATGCAAAAAAAAAAATAATAATAACAATAGTGAGTGGGGGCAGGGCGTTCCCACCACAGAAACAGCGCTGTCTTTGAAGGTGTTCAGGCCAAGGCTGGCGCCGGCGGCTGGGCTGAGGCGCCTGGATGTTGAGTGGCGATGGGAGCAGATGGACTGAAAGGCTCCATCACCTTCACATCCAGGTCATCTGCGCAGGGTTCGGTGACACAGGCCCGGGCCCTCTGTCTTGCAGGTGTCCGTCTGCCGGGAGATGGTGGCGGAGCTGCGCGGCATCATCCTGTGTCAGGACGGCGCCCGGCCCCGCCGGCGGCGCGCGGGGCTGCGGTCCGGGCACCCCCTTCCCGAGGAGCGCCTGCCGCGCGCCACCGCGACGCTCAGCAACGGGCAGCTGTGCGGGGCGGCGGCGGGGGAGCCCGAGCAGCTGGCGCAGCGGCTGGCGCGGGAGGCGGCGCTGGTGGCCCGCGGCTGCGCGCACGTGCGGGTCTGCCCCGAGTGCCGCCGCTTCCAGGGCCCGCGCCGGCCCGCGCGCAGCGAGGAGAGCCTGGCCTGGGACCGGGCGCCCGGCGGCGGCGAGCCCGAGTAGCCCGCGCGGGCCGCTCTGGCCACAGGCAGGCGGGCGCTGCTCCGACCCGCGGGGCTCCCCACGCCCAGGCGTCCTCCGGATCCGGATCCAGGGACTTTACAAACGGATCAAAGAGCCCGGCGCCCAGCAGAGACCGCGCCCGAGCGGGGAGCTGGGTGCTCCAGACGCTGACCGCGTGGGGACGCGGCGCCCCACCCAGGATCACGGGGACCCACCGTCTCCCAGCGGGCGGGGCCCTGCCCAGACCAGTTCCAGGACTCGGTGGGGCCGCCCTGGAATCCCGTTAGGAAGGGGCTGTTGTACTCGGGGTCTAGCTCTCACCAGGAAAACAATAAAGCCCACGGGGATTTTCCTTGTCTGGGTGTGTGTGTGTTAATGTCGCCCCTTCTCCCCCACCTGCTCTTGTTTTCGCCGCCATCCCATTCTCTGTTTCCTCTGCTTGTTTACCGGAAGGCAGGCTGGGTGAGGGCCCGGAAGTCCATGTATTCCCGACCCTTTTTCCTACATTTTAGGACATGGAGCGGCCAGTGCCTCGGGTTCCAGGGGCTGAGCTCCTTTCTGGGTGGTGATGGGGGGTGGGGGTGGGGGGGAGGCACAGGGGCAGAGGCGTCTGGGGAAGAAAAGGTTGGGCGTCTCAAAATAAAAGCCCATTAAAGTCACGTTCCAGACCCCCAACCAGTTAACTCATAGGTTCCAGGGGTAAACGTGTCTTTTTTCCTTTCTGGGTTTTCCTATTCTTGGTTTGGTTCGGTCTTTTGTGAGTGTGACCTCGAAGGAAGAGACAGGTGAGAGGACAGTGGGCGCAGCCTCCCGGCCTTGTCTGCGGAGCAGAGGCAGCTGCTGGTGGGGCAGCCAGAGCAGGAAGGAGGGCACCCTGTGTGTGCCCCCGGTTTGCCACCTGTGTCTCCTTTTACCAAACTCCGCAGCTGCCTGGGAGCCAGGCCCGCGGCTATCGAGGCTGGGGGAGTTCTTGTTAACAGATAGGAGACTGAGGGCAAACGTGTGTGTGTGTGGGGGGGGGGGGTGCACGTGTGTGTGTGTTTTCTAATGAAATGACCTCAAGCAATCAAAGGTTTGCCATGTTCCTGGGAGGTGTGGGTCTTGTCACCGACACGCAGGCCTGGGAGCCAGGAACCCTCAGCCCTCACCTCGGCCTGGGCGACAGCCAGAGCAGCCTCAGGAAAGCACTGAACTCCTCCTCCACCTGCACACCCTCGCAATGCCGCCTGGTCAGACGGCTGCCCGCCCCTCCCTGCGTGTCCGACACCCGCAGGACCGGAGCCCTCGCTCAATGGAAGGGACATGTCTCTTGGCAGCTGTGTGGCCGCAGCTGGTTTTCACCGAGTAGGACTCTCATGTAGAGAATTTTCATTTTCTGATGGAAAACTTAAATCTATGCAATCTCTGATTGTAAACTTAAACAAGTTAGAGGGAGCAGGAAACACATGGCTGCTGCCACCACTCCCACCGCCGCCACCACCTGAATCAAACAGTCCTCACAGCGTTGCTGTTCTGAACACTAAAGCAAGGACGCCTCTGGGAGGTGATGAGCCTCACTCCCTGACTTTGCCGTTTGGGAACGAGTTAGAGCTGCTGGCCCCCGGTGGTCCCCTGGCCACTTCTGGGAAGGACGCCGGTTTTGTCCTTGGCTGACCTTCTCTCTCATGAATTCGAATTCTTTTTAAATATTTTCTTTTTCGCGAGTGGATGACAGTGCAGTGCAGGACAGGAGTGTTTTTAAACCTTGCTGCCGGCCTCAGGAGGAACATGGGTTTGGTGAGAAGGGTCCCTGGAGGGAAACTGACCCAGCCCCAGCCCCAGCCCCAGCCCCAGCCCCAGCCCCAGCGGTGCACACCCCTAACCCCGCTCCAGGCCTGGGTTCTGACAGTGGGGTCCTATTGTGAGATCACATTTGGGGTGGGAAGGTGTTTTTAAAAGCAGGATATCTCCATCAATAGCAAGCTTCCTGCATTGGGTTACTGAGGTGAATGCCCCATGAATCATTTCTCACATCTGCCCTTTCACCCTGTGGAAGGAAGGCCACACTGCTCTGCGCTCAAGCCGACCCGGGAGGGCACCTGCCACCAGCTGCTCCTCTCCCGCGTTGGGCTCTACTTGTTATCTTGTTGGTTGTTGGCTCTCTTCCCCACTCTGTATTTTCTATCGGGGTCTGTGTACTGTACAAACAGTCTTTCTTGTCTGTTTATCTTTCTTCGAATATTTATAATAAAACAGAAACAAACCCAGAAATGTTAGTGATGGATGAAAGCTGTTTTGGTTTGGAAAGAATGATCTGGCCTGTCCTATATCCAGCCTCTCTAATAGCGAATAGCAATATCAATCTACTTTGTGTCTTCCCCTCTGCCTGCCCCTCTCTCTCTGTCCCACTCTCCACTCCCACCCTCACCCCCACCCCCACCCGCTGCAGCTCTTTGTTCAGATCTCTGAAAAGTCTAGGTGGCTTCTTTCAATTTGTAGTCCTGGGAGTCGGAGCCAATCCCCCCAAACAGACCCGCATGTTAATGAAGTTCAGGACTTGTAGGGTTTTGTCTTCCTCAATGCACTTTCACAGAATAGTTATCTATTGATACCGAGGGTAACTCTAGTCAGATATCACCCAGATCCCACTGGGAGCTGGCAGATTACATCAATTAAAATATAATACTTTGCTTTATTTCTTTTAATTGCTTTGCAAGGCCCCAACCGTCACAAGATCTCTACCTCAGAGCTCAGTGGGGTGTAAGTTGAGCGTGTAGATGGCTTTCTCCAATTCAATGCTCATATGAGAATATTCATCCTGGGAACTTGCCAGCCGGCCCTCTTATTGGTTAGGTGAGACTGAAATATCACGATAACCAATCCACCTGGGGCCGCCCTGTGAAACTTCGTTAGTTTTGGATTCCAAGAAGTTTACCTTTCCTTTGGAATCCAGGGCTCCCTGTGGTGCAGGAATTAAATGCGGGGAGGCGGGGGAAGGGGGACGCATCTCAGAGCAGCAGGCTGGTTGAGGGAAGCTTGAGAGAACCCCTTGCGGCTCTCCTGCCAATAGGGGTGCGCAGCAGGTAAAATAGTCTGGAAACGATAAGGGAGATTTGATTCCCACTGGTTGTCAGCTCCCATGGGGTAATAACAAAGAGGCCTGTTTGGAAAATTCAGAGAAGGAATCCTTTCATAAAGATTTTGCTTAAAGCTAGTGCTTCCTATGGGACCTTCTCAAAGAGAAATTACACCTTCAATTGCCTTGAGCTGAGTTATTCCCATGCCTCTGTCGAAAGGTGGCTTTCTCCCCAAGGGCAAGGCCACTACTGCCCAGACAGAGTGCCTCCAGGCTGACAGTGGCCATCCGACAGTGTGTCCCTCAAAGACTGGTGATGCCATGCGTCCTTCTCATAGGAACCCCCCTCTTCACACACACACACACACACACACACACACACACACACACACCCTGGGTGTGGCTTCCAGTGGAAAAAAATCTCCATGCTTTAGAACTGAATGGGGTCAACAACCCCATGGCAATTTAAAGGCAACCAGGGAAGAGAAATTCTGTCCCTATTGATAGAACATTATTATTCAATTTTATTAATTCATACTAATTTCAAAATGTGAAGAAAGAATGAAAAATACTAATATTACTGTACACAAAGAGCAGAGACAGTGCTGAGGTCAAGAAAGAAAGATGTCTATGAAGCAATAAAGTAGGAAACAGCCTCTCTAATCACACATGGCGGAGGAGCAGAGGCCCTAAGAACAAGCATAAAGAAATTGGGTATTTAATCTGCCTAATGAGCTAAGAGCCTGTGTGTAAGGCTCCATGTCTGAGGTTCACGTGTCAGGGAGTGGGTACATGTGGCTGAAGCCGTGCCTGGGGACTTACCCCTATTAACAGGTTAGACCTATAGAGTCTGCATCAGAGGATGGAGGTCAAACAGGTAAGTGCAGTGATCCTCCAGCTAGAAAAGCAGCAGAGTGCCATGTGCTTCATTATTCTCCACCCTGTCCAATGTGCTCTCTGACTCTCCCGAAAACTCAGAGGAAAGCAGGGGCCGAAGGGCCTCTCCCCTGTCGGCACTGTTTCATAGGTTGGCCTCGGAGGATGTTTCTCTAGCACACGGTGCACATAAAGTTCTGTGGGAAATGATGCGGTAGAATACACTGTGCTCCGTCTGGGAAGACACACTCGCCTGAAAGAGGCAGCAAAAGTGAAGCACAAACGACCCAGGTGCTGGAGTGTTGGATCTGGAACACAAAACAGGGAGGAAATCAGGGCAGTGTCCAAGGGGTTGAGATAGGCTTTAGTGGAGGAAGCAGCACTGTGTCTTGGGGTTGTTAAAAAATTTGGGGTGGTGATGAACACACAATGCAATATTCAGATGATGTATATAATTGGACACACACACAATTTTTTTGATGTTTAGAAAAACAGACTTTGCTTCATCTCCTTGGAGTGCAGTCTGGTACCCATGTGGATGGAAACAGGACTCTGCTGTAAGAGGCAGCTGTTGCTGTTCTGTTTTCATCAACAGCAGGGTGGGGGCGGGGCAGGATTCTGGCTCTCCTATTATGCTTCTTCCTCTTCGCTGTCAACAGTAATTAGAGATTGTCACCACTATCTCATTTCCAGGCTTCCTTAAATTGCATTTGTGGGATTAGCTGCAGAGACAAACAGACTTAGCCCGTCAGAATACAAAAAGACTAAGTGGTCCAAAGTGGGTTATAAGCTCTTTAAAAATAACAATCACATAATTTTTATGAGAGAGAGAGAGAGAGGAGAGAGAAGTGTTGATGTGAGAGAAACATCAATTGGTTGCCTCCCACACGTGCCCTCTGGAACTTTAGCTGCTGTCTGTGGGAACCCTGCCATCCATAAGAAGAGTAAAAATTTAAAATAGAAGAGAATTTAAGAAACCTCTGTGACATCATCAAGCTAAACAACATCAGATCATAGGGGCATCAGAGAGGGAAGAGAGATAGCAAAAGAATGAGAACCTATCCGAGGTAGCAACCTTAAATGCCACCCTAGACTGGATGAATTTAATTGATATTTTCAAAGAAATTCACCCCACAACAGAATATTCAGTCTTTTCATGTGCACATAGAACATTTTCCATGATAGACCACATCTCAGGGAAAAAAACCAAGTCTCAATAAATTTAAGAATTTTCAAATCATGTCAAACATCTTCTCTGACCACAATGGTATGAAATAAGAAATTACAAGAAAGAGTATGAGTTCATCCTCTGCCGTTTACTAGCTGTATTTCGCAGGGGGTATATTACTTAACCTGCATCTCACTCAGTAACTTGAATGGTGCCAAACACACTTCATAAGATTATTGTGAGGATCAAAGACAATAAGTTAAGTGAAATATAGCAAGCATTGCCTGTCACATAGTAAAAACTCAGACAGTAGCTATGATTGTTGTTATAGTGTAATCAACTTTGAACTAATGACTCAGAAGAACATAGACTTAGAATCTTAGAATCAGACTGGTCAACCAGTCCAACCTACCCAGGAATTTTTTATATATTATTCCAACAGATTCAGCCTTTGTTTAAACTGTCCTGGTGACAGGGAACTCATTAGAACCAACTGAAGCACCTCCAATTCTTTGAAAGTTTTTCCTTATTATTAGGTTGAACCATATGAAATTTGTTTGTAGGTTAAAATAATCAAACTATCCACAAGTTCTAATAAAATTTTCCTTTCTTATACTCTTTTCTGTTACTTTACTTCACTGTCTACTCTTCTTCTCCATGACAGTCATTTAGACGTAATGAGGAATCAGTGGTGTACAAGATAGGCTTAGGCGTAGTTCCTGCCTTCATAGAGGCTTGAGTGCTTGTCAAAGAGCCAATAAGAAAACAAGCAATTATGTATAATTTTCAGTCTCAAGGAGATAGAAGAAAAATCTTTCAAGCAAAGAGCTTAGCAAAACAAATTTCCAAAGAACAGAAACATGAGGAATTGAGAGTAGAGAACAGCATTGCCCAATAACTTCCTGTGATGATACAAATATTCTATATAAACACTGTCTGATAGGATAAAATTAGCCACATGGTTATTGAGCACTTGAAATAGGGCTAGTGTCATATGTCTCAGGAAATGTAGTTTTAATTTAGCTTAATTTTAATTAATTTAAACTTAAGTAGCCACATGTAGATAGTGCTACCGGACTGGGCAGGAGAGGTATGGAATAAGAGGAGACAGGGATTAACATGACCAGATATGAGTTCTGGAAAGAGAATTCTGGCTGTCTTGTGGGCAGAGATTGGAGATGGGTAAAGACAGTGGTCTTGCCTTTAGGAATTGCTCTATATGGGGAGAGAAGGGAAAAAAGAAAAGTGACTTAATAATATCTCAAATAAATAAGTATATAACTAATCATACCTAGCCAGATACAACACTCACATATACATTTATAGACCATGCACATGGTATTTATTAATAGTAATGATCCACATTTCTTGCCTTTTCCCCTAATTGCTCAGAATACATTTAACTTCCAAAGTATTTCTGGGTATCCCCAGGGATACCTGAACTCACAAGTCTATCATTGGAGTATCCATGGAGCATCCACCCTATTTTTCCTCCTCTCTGCATATTTCATTCTGTCCCTCTCTTGGCCCTTGCCACTGAGACTATTTTTGAATGTGATCATGGCAATGACCCTGATACTCCCAAAGCCATTCATTCTAAGATGCCAGAAAGATTCCCTGTTCTCTGCAGCGGGAGGGAAAAGTCCCATGTCAACAAACTAAGCCACATTGATTTGACTCACCCTCCCCTTGATCCTCAGAGCACTTTCTTTAACCAGCTCTTTCAGGCTACCTCTCCACTCCCTTTAACTCCATTAAGTGCTACCTATGGTCAAGAGAAAGCAAAACAAAATGAGAGAAGCAAGTCCCCAGGAACTGCCATTGGGTTCCTCCTAAAGAATTTGTCTCCTGCCACAACCGGTTTGGCTCAGTGGATAGCGTTGACCTGTGGACTGAAGGGTCCCAGGTTCGATTCCAGTCAAGGGCATGTACCTTGGTTGTGGGCACATCCCCAGTAGGGGGTGTGCAGGAGGCAGCTGATCAATGTTTCTCTCTCATGGATGTTTCTAACACTCTATCCCTCTCCCTTTCTCTCTGTAAAAAACCAATAATATATATATATATATATATATATATATATATATATATATATATATATATATATGAATTTTGTCTCCCTGACTCTAGAACCAATACATCCCCAGGCATGCACACCACGACCCTTCACGTGCTTCCTGACACACACCACATGAAAGCACACACAGCCCAGGCAACAGACCTCAGCTCCTCACACTTCAGCTAATATCCACACAGGCTGAATTCCCCTCAGGACCAGCCAGCACCATCCTACTCCATGTGTGTTCCTGCAAAAGAAATGGACAAAGAAGCACTAAGCAATCACTGCCCAACGGCCAGTACAATGTGGGCGGGCTGGAGCAATGGCATAGCATAAGGCGAAGTGTGTGGACCCTATTGTGGTGCCAGACGGACCTGATCCAAATCTTAGCCCGGTCACTTCTAACTGCCTGGCCCGGGGCAGCTTACTTGGCCTCTGTGAACGTCGGTTTTCAAACCTATGACACGCCCCCGTTATGAAGGCAGTAAGATTGGCGGTCGCAGGAGCACAGCGCCTGGGGCCCAGCAGGGCGCTCAGGAAGTGGGAGCTCCTACTGCTCCGGGGGCAACGGAGCCCTGAAAGCTCCCGCGGGCGCTCGGGCCTTAGGAAGGGGACGCAGCATGGCGGCCAGAGCGCTCCTCATCCTCACGCAACCGCATCTTGGGATGGGGTTGGATTCCAGCCCAGAGGGGACCTGTGAGGACACTGACGCGAGACGGGAAGTGAGTTGGTCAGGGTCCCCCCGCAACTTAGTGACAACCAGGACACCATTCCGCGTGCGTCCGGAGGGCTCAGCCGGTGCTCGCCCCGTCAGGCCGCAGCCGCCAGCAGCCAGGCCGCTCCGCACCTGCGCTCTCGGCACCAGCGGTCCCTCCGGACGCGCGAGAGGCAGAGCATCCCAGGCCTCTCCCAGGGACAACTCCGCGCGGGCCCGCCGCCATGGCAACGCGCGCCGGGTGAGGACCAGCTCCTCCGGCCCCGCCCACCACGCAGAGGACGCGGACTGCGCCCGGGTCACGTGGGGGTGTGGGGCCTGACAGCTGCTTCCGGGTCAGGCCGGGACGCCGGGCTCCGGTGCCCGCGCTGGGAACGAGGCCGAGCGGGTCGGGGCGCGGGGACCGGGCCGAGGCCGAGCCGAGCGGCTCCGCGGCGGCGGCCGGGAGGGGGGAGGACGGCGCACAGAGCTCCCGCCTCCCGGGCTGAGGGGTGAGTGGAGCCGGCGCCGCCTTCTGGGGGCCCGCGGCCCAGGCGCCCCTCGGAAGCCGAGGCGGGGCCGGGGGAGCGGCGGGGGACGGGCCTGCCCGGGAGGAGGGCGGGCGGCCTGGCGGTGGGCGCCGCGGGGGCCCAGGCTGGAGGGGCGGCCCGTGCGAGCTCCCGAGAGTCGGAGCGCCTCCTGGGCCCGGGGCGTGTGGCGGGGAGCGGCCGTGGCCGGCCGCGGTGGCGAGGCCTCCGGGCTGCGGTCTCCAGAGCAGGGACCCTGGTCCCCGATCCGCTGAAGCCAAAACCAGACGGGCGCCCGCGTCCCCGCGGAAGCCCCGGCGCCAGGCCTCCCCCAGGGCGAAGGGGGCGGCAGAGTCGCCGTGCCCCGCGCTGGGGGGTGCGGGCGCGGGGCCTGGGGTCACGGGGCCTGCGGGGCCGGGCCTCTCCGAAGGGCTGGGCGCCGAGTCCTGGACTTGCGGTGGCTGCTCACCTGCCGGAGGCCGCGGGCCCCGCCGAGGCTGCGGGGGAGTGCGTGCTCTGGCGAGTGGAGCCAGGCGCGTCGCCCCTCCTCCGGCCGCTGGGAGCTCCCTTTGGCTTCCAGGAGTCATGCTGCGCGGAGATTTTGTGCAGCAGCTGAGGACTGTGGAAGCATCCAGCCCTGGGTCCCGAGCCGTCAGACCCAGATCTCTGGAGTAGGAGCTTTCAGACTTTTCTTTAAAACCATGCTCCTAGAGAGAAGTGCATTTAGTATCACGATCCAGCACGTACCTACGTATGAATGAAAAGTTCCACAAAGCAATGTTTATCCTTCTTACATGCGATGCAGTCCAATAATTTCTATTACATTTCATTCCTTTAATTAAAAATGCTAAATTCACTAAATCGATTTATGGGTCCCAAATTGCAGTTTGAAAACTCCTGTCTCCAAGGCACATTTCTTTGGCTTCAATGACTGCCCTGTACTGTCTGCTGCTAGCGAGCAAGGATGGTTACCCCGCTTGGATCCTGAGGGTGTTGGGGAGGGACCACCCAGCTGTAGTTGACTGCGTCATTTGTTTAAATATATGTCATGTAGCATATTTGACTGCTGTTTTGTACCGTAATCTTAATCATTGATGCCTTAATTTGATTGATCATTTGATGAAAGATGTGAAATAAGCATGTTCTTTAATTTTCTCTATCCTTTGCTGTGTCTGAGAAATAGGAGAGGTCTAGTTTCATTGAGTTGACTTATCCCTACAACCTAGTAAGGTAATTTTATTTTAATGTTACAGTGCTGTAAGCATACACTGGTTTCCTTCTCTGCTACTTAAAGAAATATCAAGCTGAATAATTAACATATTGTACTAGAGCCCCGGTGCACGGAATTCATGCATTGGGGAGGGGGCATCCCTCAGCCCACCTGCACCCTCTCACAGTCCAGGACCCCTCAGGGGATGTCCGCCTGCTGGCTAAGGCCCAATCCCGGGACCTTGCTCCGTACCAGTCGTCTGCCTTCTCCTTAGCATCAGTCTCCGTACTGCTCAGCTGCCCTTAGTGCTGCCATGGAGGCGGGAGAGGCTCCCAGCATCGCTGCTGCGCTTTCCGGTCATGAGCCCGGCTTCTGGTTGAGGGGCATTCCCCCTGTGGGAGCACACTGACCACCAGAGGGCAGCTCCTGTGTTGAGTATCTGCCCCTGGTGGTCAGTGTGCATCATGGCAACTGGTCATTCTGCTCTTTGGTAGATTTGCATATTAGCCTTTTATTATATAGGATACATCTACATAATTGAATGTATATGGTTTTGGTATATATTTTAAACTTAAGTATAACTTTGAATCAGGTAACATCATTATCCCCCCCCCCCCCAGGAAAATGTTGTTTTTATCTGTTCATAAATCAGTGAGGTCCTTATATGATAGTATTGTAACAAACATTAAAGAGTGTTGGTGACCAAGTGAGAAGCCTGCATGTGTTGCTTTTTTTAAAGTTCTTTTAAAAGTTGTCACACAGCCTATTGCTACCGGATGTTGAGTGTCAAATGATGTTACCTGATTTCAGTAGGTCAATTTATAGGGCATATATTTAAGACCAGTTTAATGGTGTTAATTTTTGTTGAGGATGCCTCCATATTATTTGGAACATGGAAAGCAAAGGCCCAGACATCAGGGAAAAATTGCTCAAATTAAACTTCATCAGTGGGGCCACAGTAGATGCCTTAAGAAAGATGCTTATCATCTTTAAACTTTGTATGTTGTAAAATACATCTTTCTTAACTACTTATTGACTATATCTTGGTTATTGATAAGTGAACTGTGTGTTGTCATCCTTTAAATTATCTTTTAATCAGATAAATGGTTGTTTTAAAATATTTAGCTCTAAAACTTTTTTTTTTTTTATGGTAAGTATTTGAAACATGAAGGAAGATTCTCATTATTATTTTTTTTTTTCTGGGAATTTCAATAAACTGTTGTGGAGAATTTACCCTGGTGAATGTGTGTACTTTTTTATAGTTTTCATTTCTTTTGAACCTCAGACTTCTAAATGATCTTTTCCCCTTCTAATTTTTGCTTCTAAACTGGTGAGTTTGGAAATTCAAATCTTACATTGTTAGAACTTTATGTAAAATAAGATTCTATAGCTCTGAGTACTGTTCTTTATGTATAACTAGAGGCCCAGTGCACAGAAATTTGTGCACTCAGAGGGGTCCCTCAGCCCGGCCTGTGCCCTCTCGCAGTCTGGGACCCCTCGGAGGATGTCCACCTGCTGGCTGAGGCCTGCTCCCCGGGGAATCGAGCCCAAGCTGGCAGTCATACATCCCTCTGGCAGCCCAGGAGCCCTCAGGGGATGTCCACTTGCCAGCGGGGAGCAGACCTAAGCTTCAGTCGGACATCCTTAGTGCTGCTGAGGAGGCGGGAGAGGCTCCCGCCACCACTGCTGTGCTGGCAGCCATCGTCCTGGCTTGTGGCTGAGCAGAGCTCCCCCATGGGAGTGCACTGACCACCAGGGACAGCTCCTGTATTGAGCATCTGCCCCGTGGTGGTTAGTGTGTGTCATAGTGACCGGTCATTCCCAGTCGTTCTGCTGTTAGGGTCAATTTGCATATTATCCTTTTAGTATATAGGATAGAGGCCTGGTGCATGGGTGGGGGCCAGTTGGTTTGCCCTGAAGGGTGTCCCGGATCAGGGTGGGGGTCCCGCTGGGGTGCCTGGCCAGCCTGGATGAGGGGCTGATGGCTGTTTGCAGGCTTGTCACACCCCCTTCAGGGTGGGGGTTCCCACTGGGGTGCCTGGCCAGCCTGGGTGAGGGGCTGATGGCTATTTGCAGGCTGGTCAAGCCCCCCCACCCAGTGGGAACCCTCACCCCATGGAGGTTTGGCCAGCCTGGGTGAGGGGCTGATGGCTATTTGCAGGCTGGTCAAGCCCCCCCACCCAGTGGGAACCCTCACCCCATGGAGGTTTGGCCAGCCTGGGTGAGGGGCTGATGGCTGCTTTCCGGCTGGCCACACCCCCTTTAGGGTGGGGGATCTCCACTGGGGTGCCTGGCCAGTCTGGGTGAAGGGCTGAGGACTGTTTTCAGGCTGGCCAAGCCCCCCTGGCGACAGAAGCTCCCAGCGTCTCCTTTTTTTCTTTTTTTTTTATTCTGGGATTTATTTACCTTCTATAATTGAAACTTTGTAGCCTTGAGTGGAGCTCAGAGCCGGCCACGGCGGGCGGGAAGCTTGGCTTCCTCCATCACTGGGGCAACCAAGCCTTCTTGCTCCAGCTCTGTGGCTGCTGGTCGCCATCTTGGTTGGGTTAATTTGCATATAGTCTCTCTGATTGGCTGGTGGGAGTGGCTTAAGGCATATCAAAGGTACGGTCAATTTGCATGTTTGCCTTTTATTTGTGTAGATATGTATATATGTATAATATATAAATTACTAATATTTTTTAGTATCTAAACTATGCGATATGTATTTTGGCAACTCCGAGGCCTATTGACCGCTTAATCATGGGCTGCTTTTTGAATAAATGAACTCTCCATATTTTGAGCCTCATCAGCTGTAATAAGAAAAAGTTCTTAAAAGCTAATATGAATCTGACAGTGATACAAGTTGTACTGAAGGGGTGAAGAAATCATTTAGCTGTAATTGTTGCCTTTGCCCTACATGCAATTAAGCATTAAAAGTTACCATTCCTCCTGTTTTTAACTTTTTCACGATCCTGTTTTGACTCTTATTTCTTTGAGATTAGAATGGTAACAGTCTAACTACTCCCATTGTCTTATTCTAGGTCTGTATGATCTTGCATAGCTTCAAAGAATGTTGTTGTCCTTTATCATTTCCTTCCTCAAAACCATTAGCAGCTTCCCAGTGATGGCACTGTATAGGTTGGCACTGAGGTCATTCCACATCCTCTGCTGTTCTTCTGACATGTTTTCCATTCTGAAATGCAAATCCTCTATTTTCACAAAGTGGTTTACTTATCATACCTTCATTTACATATAACACTAGGGAGCTGGTGCATGAAATTTGTGCATTGTGGGGTGGTGTCCCTCAGCCCAGCCTGAACGCCCTCCAATCTGGGACCCCTTGGGGGTGTCTGACTGCTGGTTTAGGCCTGAACCGGCAGTCGGACATCCCTCTAACAGTCTGGGATTGCTGGCTCCTAACTGCTCGCCTGCCTGCCTGCCTGATTGCCCCTAAATGCTTCCACCTGCCGGCCTGATCGCCCCCAACTGCCCTCCCCTGCAGGCCCAGTTGCGCCCAACTGCCCTCCCCTACTGGCCTAGTTGCCCCCAACTGCCCTCCCTGCTGGCCCAGTAAGCCCTAACTGCCCTGCCTTGATGGCCTGGTCACCCCTAACTGCCCTCCCCTGCTTGCCATCTTGTGGCAGCCATCTTGTGACCACATGGGGGCGGCCATCTTGTGTGAGGGTGTGATGGTCAATTTGCATATTACCTCTTTATTATATAGGATTATTCCTGAAAGTCTGCAGGAAATGTCTTTCCTCATGGAAACCTACTTACTTTTATTTCGTGACTGATGACTCTTCTTTCTTGACGTCTCTCTTTTCTGTACTGTCTGCACTGCTTTTCTTGAATTGCTTTGTATTGTTTGTGTACCTTGTTTTTACCCTTTTAGATTGTAAACTCATAGTAGACAGGAAGCTCAGATATCTTTGAATCTCTAGGACACCTAGCACAGGGTTTATGAGGGCTTGGTTCCTGGATCATGTGACTCAGAATTAACTGCATTTATGGTTAAATTGTAGCTCTCTGAAAATTGTGCCCTAGACTTACTGGATCAAATTCTAGGTATGTGACTTGCAATTCTTCTGTTCAGTAAAATTTGAGCATCACTGACCTAGCATCACTGACCTAGCGTGTACTTTAAGGTACAGTAGGTACATTCATATAATTTTTGTTTCAAGTGATATCAGTGAACTGAGCAACCAGTAGGCTGGTTTACTTTTTTAGGGCTTTGGAGTCAGGCAGCCTAGATTTGAATCCTGTCTCACTAGCCCTCTATAATAATAAAAGCATAATATGTTAATTAGACCAGACATCCTTCTGGACGAAGCCGCGGCAGCAGGGGCCAAGGCAGAGGCAGCTGCTGCGGAGGTGGGGGTGGAGAACCTTGCATGAATTTCGTGCATCAAGCCTCTAGTCTGACTATAACATTTCTGCCTTAG